ACCAGACTTTAGGCTGTACTACAATGCCATAGTGATCAACACAGCATGGTACTGGCACAAAAATAGAGACATAGATACCTGGAACCAAATAGAAAACCAGTAGATGAAACTAACATTGTACAGCCACCTAATCTTTGATAAACCAAAAAAGAACATAAACTGGGGGAAACAATTCCTATTCAATAAATGGTGTTGGGAGAACTGGATATCCACATGTAAAAGACTGAAACTAGATCTGCACCTTTCTCCATTTACAAAAATTGATTAAAGATGGATAAAAGACCTAAATCTAAGGAATAAAATGATAAAAATCCTCAAAGAAAGCACGAGAAAAACACTTGAAGATAATGGCCTGGGGAACAACTTTATGAAGAAGACTTCCATGGCAACTGCAACAACAACAAAAATAAACAAATGGGATTTAATTAACTTGAAAAGCTTCTGTATAGCTAAGGAGATAACAACCAAAGCAAATAGACAACCTACACAATGGGAAAGGGCATTTGCATATTTTGAAGCAGACTAAAGCTAGATAACTAGGATCTACAGAGAGCTCAAATTAATCAACATAAAAAGAGCATACAATCCCTTATATCATTGGGCAAGAGAGATGAATAAGACCTTCTCTAAAGAAGACAGATGAATGACTAACAAACATGAAAAAATGTCCATTGTTTCTAATTACTAGAGAAATACAAATCAAAACCACCCTGAGATATCATCTAACCCCAGTGAAAATGGCCCACATTACAAAATCTCAAAACTTCAGATGTTGGCATGGATGTGGAGAGAAGGGAACGCTTTTACACTGCTGGTGGGACAGCAAATACAATCTTTTTGGAAGAAAGTATGGAGAATCCTCAAAGAACTCAAACTAGACCTCCTATATGATCCTACAATCTGTCTACTGGGCATCTACCCAGAAGAAAAAAAATCCTTTTACCATAAGGATATTTTCATTAGACTGTTTATCACAGCTAAATTTACAATTGCCAAAATGCGGAATCAGCCCAAATGCCCACCAATCCAGGAATGGATTAACAAGTTGTGGTATATGTATATCATGGAATACAATTCAGCCATAAAAAAATGGAGACTTTACATTTTTTGTATTAACCTAGATGAAAGTGGAACACATTCTTCTTAGTAAAGCATCACAAGAATGGAGAAGCAAGAAACCTATGTACTCAGTTCTTATATGAGTACAATTAATGATCTAGCACACACTGGGGGTTGGGGGAAGGAGAGAGCAGGGAGAAGGAAGGACAGAGGGGGATGTGGAGTCACAGTGTGTGACACACCTTTTGGGGGTGGGACACAATTATAAGAGGGACTTTACCAAAGAAATGGAATTAATATAACCTGGTTCTTTGCACCCTCAATGAATCCCCAACAACAACAAAAAAATTGTGATTTATATACAATAAAATTCATCAATTTAAATATATAATGTGATGAGATTTCATGTATATACAATCATGAAGACACCACCACAATCAAGGCATAGAATATTTCAATGACCTCAAAATTAGCCTCATGCTCCTCTGTGGACAATGTGATGCTCTCGTGGTCAGACCTTGGCTGTTAATCTTGCCATGGTCCGATAGCTCTGCTTTTTCCAGTGTGCCAAATGAGTTGAGTCTTACACTACAATAGTCTTTTGTTTTGATTTCATTCGCTTACCACCATGCTTTGGGGATTTCTCCATGTGTCATATGAGTTAATGTTGCATTTATGTTTGTTGCTAAAAATATTTTTGTTCACTTACCACCATGCTTTTGGGATTTCTCCATGTGTTGTATGAGTTAATGTTGCATTTATGTTTGTTGCTAAAAATATTTCTGTTCACTTACCATGATGCTTTTGGGATTTCTCCATGTGTCGTATGAGTTAATATTGCATTTGTTTTTGTTGCTAAAAATGCACGAGTATACAAGTATTTGTTATGATACTTTAGTTCCTTTCAATTATTATCCATTGTGAATAAACATGCTATAAATATTCACATACAAAATCTTTGGATGGATGTGTTTTCTTTTGAGAAAATATGTAGAAATGAAATTGTTGGATTATGTGAAATGTATATGTTGAATTTTTAAAAATTTTGCATTCCCATCAGCAACAGATCTGAATTTTAGTTCTCCACATCATGCCTGCATTGGTATTGTTAGACTTTTTTTTTAAATGATGTTGAACATCTTTCTGTGTGGTTATTCATTGTTTCTTTGGCAAAATATCTATCCAATTCATTTACCTGTTTCTAATAAGTTTTTATGTCTTATTTTTCATATGCTGGAATAAAATCTTTATTAGATACAGTTTTTCACATTTTTCTTCAAGTCTAATTTGTCATTTCATTTTCTTAGTAGGGTTTTATGAAGAGTAAAAGCTTTTATTTATTTATTTATTTATTGAGACAGAATCTCAGTATGTTGCCCTTGGTAGAGTGATATGCCATCACCGCTCACAGCAACCTCAAACTCTTGGGCTTAAGCGATTCTCTTGCCTCAGCCTCCCAAGAAGCTGGGACTACAGGTGCCTGCCACAATGCCCAGCTACCTTTTCACTGCAGTTGTCATTGTTGTTTAGCTGAGCCAGGCTGGGCTCAAACCCACCAGCCTCGGTGCATGTGGCCAGCACTGTAACCACTGTGCTATGAGCACTGAGCCAAAGATTTTATTCTTTATGTTCAAATTTTCAATATTTTCTATTTTGGATTCATCCTTTTCTATTTCCTGCATAACCCAAGTTCACTGATATTTTTTTCTCATATTAAAATCTATGAATAGATTTCAAATTTTCAAGTTGTTTTCATGAAGTAAGATTTCCTCCAACTAGTTCCTTTTTTGGTTTATGAATAGTTAAATGTCCCAACACCATTTATTGACAAAGTTATTTCTCCATTTAATTACCTTGTCATTTTGTCAAATGCCAATTGGCCTCATATGTGGGTGTTTCTGGACTTCCCATTTAGTTCTGTTGATCTGTTTCTCTGCCCTGACACTGAACCACATTGCCTTAGGCCAGTGATTTTTAACTATTGTTCCACAGCACACTGGTGTGCCATGAGAGGATCTTAGGTATGCTGCGAAAATTTTGAAAGATCATTAATTAAATTATTTTATAAAGAAATTCAAAGCACAGTAAGTATATTATTTTTTGATGAACATAATTTAAGCATACCATGGAAGTTTAATTATAGGTTCAAGTGTGCTGTGAGATTAAAAAGGATTGAAAAACACTGCTATAGGCTAACAGTGAAAGTTGGAGTCAGGTAGCATCTGCCATCCAACTTTGTTTTCTTCTTTTAATACTATTCTGGCTATTCTAGCTTCTTTGCATCTAAATTTAGAATCAACGTGTCAGTTTCCACCAAGAAAATGCCTACTGGGATTTAAACTGTGGTTTCACTGAATCTATACATTGATTTGAGGAGAAGTGACCAAGGAGAATAATACCAAGTCTTTCAACCCATGAACATTATTGTCTCTCCATTTATTCTTGTTTTGTGGTTTGCAGTGCCCCAGCCTAGAACATATTTTATGTTAATATCTTTAAAGAATTTATTTATTGATGACACACTAGAATGACGTTTACTTTTAAAAATTTAATTTCCAATTGTTCATTGTTTTTATATAAAAATACAATTAGTGGGGTGGTACCTGTAGCTTAGTGGGTAGGGCGTCGGCCACATACACTGAAGCTGGCGGGTTTAAACCCGGCTCAGGCCAGCTAAAACAATGACAACTGCAACAACAACAACAAAAAAAGCCAGGTGTTTGGCAGGTGCCTGTAGTTCTTGCTATTTGGGAGGCTGAGGCAAGAGAATCACTTAAGCCCAAGAGTTTGAGGTTGCTGTGAGCTGTGATGCCACAGCACTCTACCCAGGGTGATATCTTGAGACTCTGTCTCAAAAAAAAAAAAAAGATACAATTAGTGTTTGTATACTGACCTTGTCATCCTGAAACCATTCTAAATTCACACACTAATTCTCATCATATTTTTATAGGTTACTTATTTTCTATGTAGATTATCAAGTTGTCTGCAAAGAGTTTTGTTTATCACATTTAGGTGTTAATTTTTGTGTATAGTGTGAGGTAGTGTAATAGATTATAAAAACAGCTACAAACTCTTTCCCTTTGGACACTACTAATCCTCCCACCAAAAGGTGAAATCTTTTTCCCAGCCCTCAATCTGAACTGGACATTTGATTTGCGCCCTCCCTTCCCCCTCAGCTCCTGAAGTTTGGAGGTGCCTCTGCTCAGGTCCTGTGTCCAACCAGGGCTCCCTGTAGAAGATTCCCCATGAAGAATGGGTGCTTAACATACAAGAAAGGAGACCAGAGAAGGGGATCCCTTCTCAGGATCCCAGAATCTTTTCATGATAAAAATTGGCTCCTGTTGTCCAATACTCTGCCACCTGCTGGTTATTTAATTTTCAAATGCTAGATTTCCTTATCATTCATTATTTTTTCTTTTAAAAAATAAATTGTATTTTTTCTTTTAAAAAATGAATTGTATTTTGTATATTTAAGGCATACAACATGAAGTAAGTGTGTGTGTATGTGTATGGTTGCTATAGTGGAACAAACTAACACATCCATCATCTCATACAGTTACCCATTTTTTCTCTCTCTGGAAAGAGCAGATATACTTATATAGCAAAACTCCTGAATACAATATGCTACTCTTAACTATAGCCCTTATGTTGTATCTTAGATTTCTAGACTTGTTCACTCTACATACTTGCTATTTTATATCTTTTGACATACACCTCACCATTTCCTCCTTCCACTCTAGTCAGGGTAACCACTATTTATACTCTGTGTATATTTCATCTTTCTTTTTAGATTTCATATATAAGTACGATTAGTGGGCAGTCTTACCACACAGAGACATGAGAGTATTAAAGAAGTAAATGTGTAAAAGTGGCCCTAAGTTATGGTATCAAATGGTGGCATCCTCATCCTCCTTATAAAAACACAAAGTTAGGTACCCTCTAAATCTGAATGCAAGAGGACCCTCAGAAGGCAATGAGGAAGAGTCCATACCCAGAGATGGTGTCAAGGGCACTCTATGTCAGGGAGTAGGATGTTTGAGAGTCCTCAGGGAGTTTCAGTGGCTGATGCTGGGTACTTGCCCTCACCAGCACCTGGCAGCTCCACCCCATGTGTGGGAGAGTCCAGAGTGAGACAAGGTCTGCAGGAAGCAGGGGACCAACTGGGCTTGGTAGCTGCTGGGAATTAGCAGAGATATGTATTTTAATAATCAGTGAGTTACTTTATACAAAGTGCACAACTTTCTCTTAGTGTGGATTCAATAAAAATTAAAATATATTGTTAAATTGAATAAGAACTTTCTGAGGTTGCACAGGATGAGATAAAAGGAGGCTGCTATCAGCCCCCTGGCTGGGCCAAAGAAGAGCCCTCCCTGTCCTGCAGTCCCATGGGGGAGAGTGCAGACACCATGAAGCAATGGGAAAGCAACCAGCTGGGGCCTGATTCAGAAATTCCACATGTTCCTACAGAAAGAGAGGTCACTGCTTGGGGGATTCCCTTCCGATGTGCTTGAAAGTCAAGGGTTTTGACTGGAAATAGTGTGTTCCATCTGAGGGCCTGGGGAGGGTCAGTATGACAGGTCCTGTGTGTGCATTTGTTTGCAGTGACTCCAGTCTGCATGCATGTGACATGAAGTATGTGTGTGTGTGAGCATGTACACAGGTGCATTCAAGAGTGGCAAACCCATGAGTATGGATTTCCATGGCATTCACACTGCCAACCCACTGAGTATGGATTTCCAGCCAGCACTTTCCCAGAGGAAGAACCTGGAGGCCTGCTCATACATGATAGTTATTTCTCTTGGGAACTGTAGTCTCAGTTGTGAGTTGACTAACTGGTATTCTGTTCTCTGGCAGGTGCATGTCAGACATACCTGGAGACTCTGCATGTGCTTCTCTGAATTGGGTCAGGTGCTGCCTGGATGGAATTTCTGGGGAATTAAGACATTTCTGGTAGGGATTCTTGGCTGAGGGACTCCTCAGGGAAGCTCTTCACAGTGAACTGAAACTGTCCAGTGTTCAACCCCTAGTGTCCAGGCAATTGGAGCTTAGACAGGCTGCTACAGGTTGGTGTTGGTAGACTTGTCTGTTCCAGGCTCCAGAGGTATGGGAAATTCTGGTCTAGGAGGGAACCGCCTTGAGACATTTGGGGCCAGAGGAAGAGATGCCTACGTAGTTCCTTGGAGTCTTGAAAGATGAAAGGCCACAGTGCCAGCCCTGGCAGGCCCTGTGTCAGGATTGAGCTGGGTCAGGGCCTGCTCTGTTGGGAGCATGACCTCAGTCCTGAATCCTGCTGGAACCATCTGGGAGCTTTTACTCAATTCCATGCTCTCTGCAAACCACAAAAGTTTTAATACCTGGTGGGTCCTGGCCTTAGCATTTTAACAGCTCCCAGATGATCCACTGTACAGTTGAGGATGACAGCTCCAACCTAGAGCAGGGAAAAACCCATGGAGTCTGGGATCTGTGTGTATGGGGGTGGCTACAGCAAAGGCAGTAGGTTTGAGCAGGCTGGGCTATATGCGTTTCTTTTTCTTGCACCCCCATTTTCCCTAGCAGGCAGAGGATCCAGGGAAGTACCTGTACAGTGTGGCTCTGCTGACTGCTTGCCTGTCTCCACCAGCGTCACTGGTGTTCTCAAACCCATGAGCCCCACAGGAGCAACCTGCGCTGCTGGAAAATGTGTCACTTTCCTGGGCACTAGGGGGGGCAGTGATACCCTGGTCCCTGGCCAGCCATTGGTTAGAGGGCAGCAGCCACTGTTTATGCTCATGGGAGATAAAGATGGGCAGCTTCTTTGGCAGGCTTGTGGGTGTCCCAGGCTCTCTGTGTGGCTGTACAGGCACTCTTACCTTTGAACCAGGGTCTCATGCATCTCCACCTGCCAAGAGCCCAGACAGTTCTGTTCATCTCAGTGTCTATAGAGAAGGAGACAGATCGAAAGTTTGTCAGCAGAAAGCTAGTACAACAGTTGGTGGGTCACACAACACAGGCTCTGTCCAATGATTTAAGTGCCTAATGGAGGATACTTTCATGGCATGACAGCTCTGAATAACTGTGGGGAAGAGAGGAAGACTTTAAGAAGTGTTTAGATTATGCCATTTAAGTGAAAGAAACATACTCATAGTGATCCTCCCCATCTGTCAAGATGCATCTTCCGTGCTATTTCCTCTGAGGTCACCTCAGCCTGCCAAACTGTGTGTGAACCCTCTCTACTGGGATCCTGTTGTAGTTTGAATGTTTGACTCTCCAAACCTTTTGCTGAAATTGGATCTCCAGTGTTGGAGGTGGGAATTGTTTGGATCATGGGGCAGATTCCTCATTAGTGGGTTAATGTCCTTCCTTGGGGGTAAGTTCTTACTATTAGATATGCAAGAGCTGGTTGTTAAAAAGAGCCATACACCTCCAGTCTCTCCTCCTCCTTTGCTATGTGATCTCTGACACATAGCTCCCCTTCACCTCCTATCCTGCGAGGAAGCTCCCCAAGGCTCTCACAGACCCAGATGGCCAACCCTGAACCCCATGCCATTATAGTTATGAGCCAAATAAGCTGTATTTATTTATGAATTATTAGTCTCAGGTATTCCTTTACAGTAACACAAAATGGACTAAGACAGCTCCCAATAGCCTTGTCTCTCTCTGCTTTTCCCCTTTTACCTCCTGAGGAAGGAGGCCCTGCTCAGTGTGTGTCCCTATATCTGCCTCAGGTGGTATGACTTTGCAAGTCTCTGATCAATATTTGTTGTCATTATTTCAGTGACTTCCAACTCTCACATACAAATCAGTGATTTCAACCCAAATTTTGCAACCAATTTCAAATATTTGTGTTGTGAAAACACTCACATCACAGGACAAGCTCCTGTCTTTCCCCATCAGTGAGAGCAGTGCTATGTTGTGCTGCCAGGTCCTCAAACACAGAAAGAGAATTTTTTTGAAGTTCAATGTTCCTTAAATTTTTCCAGTATTCTCTTTAGTGAGAACAAAGACTTTGTGTTCTGGAATGAAATAAACTTGTTTCAAAAGGATTTAATCATTGGAAAGGGCAAGAAACATGATAATTTCATATAAACTTAAGTCAGCCAAGAGAAGATATGAGGGAGGAGCCCAGAACCATACACAGGCCTCTCAGATATGGCCTTGAGATTTCTAAGAGTGTCCATGGCTTGTAGTGCAAGTCCTAAGCAACTCCTCCCAAAGAGGAGCAATGAGCACCATTGAGCAACTTCTGGTCTTTCTTAAGTTTTATTTGGATGTGTAAAGAGGGAGGGAAGTACAACACCTTCCCTATGTGTCTAAAATGGACAAATGTCCAGTTACATAAACAAGGGTCTTACAGGTGTCCAAGGCCAATGCTATGCTCTGTTACCAAATGAAGGGAAAGTCAGTGTATTGAAATTGATATATGTCATTCTGCAGGGAGTCCCAGAGAAAATGACAGATCCCAGGTCTCACTAAAAACATGTTTGGAATCTGCATCTTGGGACAGAGGAACAGGTGGTGTAAGGTCTACACTCCAGTGGGTACCACCAGCATCCCCAGGAGGAGCAATTTTGCAGGGCTCTGCTGCCACTGTGGCTCACATCCATGATCCCTCTGTGACTGGTGGTGCAACTACAGGCAGTGCCTTTGCCTGTGTCTGTGAAGAGACAACTAACAGAACCACCTCACAGAAGTATTGTGTGATCAAATTAGAGAATAGAGAAAATCTCTTAACATAGCAAAGGTTGGAATGGAAATTCCCAGTGGCCCTGAACTCTGAGTTGTTCACTGCAGATTTCCCTTTTGGATCAAATAGTATTTGGCAGAGTAGGCACATGATACGTATCTGTTGGATAAATGAATTACAGTTAGTAACATTGTCAGGTTTAGCCACATGCCTGCTTCAAATGGCAAATACAACTTAGTGAAGCACCCCTACAAAGCCTAGCTTGGAGAAAGGCTAACTTAGGTTTATACCACACATTATTATAATAAGATTACTCAACATATGGATTTATTTATGCATTGGTATGAGGCTGGTTCTATGACCTAAATGCATTCCTCAAAATTTATATTTTGAAGAAATTGAGTCACTAATAACTGCATGAAGGGCTGGGACCTTCAGAATGTGATTAAGTCATTTGAGTAGAGACCTCATGAAAAGGATTAGGCATCCTTATGAAAAAGCTTGATGGGGGAGAGTTTGCCTCCTGCATGTCCATCTGTAGGGGAGGATGTAGTCCTCCCCAGAGAATGCAGCAACAGGTGTCATCTCGAAGGCAGAGAGTGGTCCCCACCAGACACTGACTCTGCCTTGATCTTGGACTTCTCAGGCTTCAGAACTTTGATAAATAAATCTCTATTCTTCATGAATTATCCAATCTCAAGTGTGTTATTATAGGAGCACACATAGCACCTTTCAAGGATCATTATCTGTGTTTCCATTATCTGTGTTTCCACGTGATCTATTGTGAGTGCCACTGAATGTGCTTGTTCCTCTATGGCTGTCCAAGACTCCACATGCAGGCAACGCTATTCACATCAGAGAATCTGTTATTTTGAAAATATTGTATATTTTGAGGTGGAGCAAGATGGCGGAGGGGATGCATCCCTGAGTCAATTCTCCTGGTGGTTTCAGGTGAGAGTGGGGGGATTGGATCTCTTCCACATGGAGTGCTGGCATGGACAAGCAGCGCAGGGCGAGCAGCAAAGAAGTGATTTGTTGGATTGGAACTGTAGCCCAGAACTATGGTGTCAGCCAGAGAAAACTCAGGGCAGCAGCTGAAACAGCGCCATATGCAACCTGTGGCAACAGGTCCATGGCTTGCGTCCTGAGAGGCAGAAACCAATCCCTCCCCCACAAAGGGTTCCTGTGCCCAATTCATGGGGAGTTTGTGTGTTTCACTGAGAGTGTGGTGAGGCATGGATTCCCGAGACATTTGGACCTGGTTTGGGGCATCAGGGATCCAGGCATTTGGACAGAAACTTGAGGGGAAGGGACCCTACTTAGGAACCAATCCATCCTGTAATTTTGGAAGTCTGTGTGGAGCTGCACTGATGCAGCGACCCGCAGGGGGAATCAGTTCCCTTCCTAAAAACACTGAAAAATCCTTTGAGCGTGCCTTGGCAGTGGTGGTGGCGGTGACAGCCGCGCTCCCCCCTCATCAGAAATAAACTGAACACAGAAAGCACAAGGGGTGCCCAGCTCTTTTCCCTTGGACCACAACAGTTTTCTGTTCGAGGAGAAGTTAGGAGTTGAGTGCAGGGAATAGGTTCCCTTCCTACAAACACTGAAAAATCTTTTGAGCTCACTGTGGCCCCACCCCCATCAGAAATAAACTGAACTCGGAATGTGCACGGGGCGCCCAGCTCTTTTCCCTCAGACCACAAGGGTTTTCTGTTTGAGGGGAAATTAGGAGTTGAGTGAAAGTCTGGCGAAGTGTGGACTGTGTCCCAAGTTTGGAGGACAGATATGAGTGGGTGGCCAGCCAGGAACCAGATGTAATGTAAAACTCCAAAAATGGTGTCTCCATAACACCTCTCCCAGAAGCATGGAGAACTCAATCTGACCTGCAGCCAGCCATCCGGCATCTGAAGCTAATCCAAGATGCCCAACACTTTGCGGGAACTGTTGTAGGGAGAATCTGTGCAACCTGTGCCAGCAAAGAGTCTCCTTATATATATATAAGGAGAATATATATATATATATATATATATTTTTTTTTTTCCTTCTCTTTTTTTCTTTCTATTTTTGGTTTTAGCGCGTGGATCACTCACAGCGCCACCTGCTGTCTAGAAAGTATATTGCAGCATAATTATATATTTTTTTAAACTGGAACCCCACCACATTCAAAAAGGGGCTTGTTTGTATATATTCAAAAAAATACTAATTTTCTTAGTGGTGCCCTCCTTTTCCTTTTTTTATTTTTTATTTTTATTATATATATATTTTCTTTCTTCTTTGTTTGTTTTGCTATTTGTATGCTCTATCATTTTATGGCCAACATTTCTGTGGTTATCTTTTATTACTACTATTTTTTTCTTTCTTTCTTCTTTGGTCTGTTAGTTGGTTGGCTTGTCTGTTGTTTTGTTATCTTTTTTGTCTGTTTGTTTACTTGTTTCTGAGTGTCTGGGCATCGGTGTGCTTGTGTGTCTGGTAGCATTTTAGTCTGTTTATTTGTCTGCTTGGTTTCAATGTATTTTGTACTTTGTTAAATCCCCAGGTTGGCTATATTCCCTAACTACAATTTTCACATTCAATAAGAATTTGGAGGAATAGGGGATGAGAGCTGACTGGAGCTAGCTTTCAACATAAACTTCAGTTCAGGGGGAGAGACAAACGCCAGAAGAACCCAACGAAGCTGATGATGGGGAGCTGAGCTGAGAGAAGAGATAGATAAACACACGTCCTCCCCACTGAGGTAAACCATGACTTCAAGAAAACAAATTCCAGGTTTAGATTGAGCCCAAGCGGAATATTCTCCAGCTCCCATTGTGTGCCTGAGGCAGATAGGCTTCAACTATCTCTGCTGGCTGGCCATAAAGAGTGGTCACCAAGGGGAGAAGGCATTGACATTACTTGGACTCTGGCAGGCACAAAACCCTGACACACTCGCCTATTGGACAGGACTGGGTTACAGAGTCTGGGTTAACAGAAACTGGTAGTGGAGTTAACTGAGACTGAGGTTACCAGAGTCTGGCGGTGAAGGGTGAGTAAGGAGGGGAAAGAGACATCAGCCTCCTTACTCCAAATTGTCTACTGAACAGGCCTTTCTGACTCCTCAGTGCATCAGAGCGAGCCACACTTATACCACTAGTAGATTCCTATTATTTAGTTGCTGGAGACCTTGTGATCTTTCCAACCAGAGAGTGGATACTGATCGGGTCAATAGTTTTGGATCTCTTGATTTGGGCAAATCAACTGGTGGTTGAGGGAGAATCTCTGATGCTCTCTGAATTTTCTCAGGCCTAAATTGTCTTCAGGTGGAACATTCTCCAGTTGTCATTGAGTGCCTAAGACAGCCAAGCCTCAGTTCTCTTTGCTGGCAGGGGTCGAAGAGCAGTAACTGAGTGGAGCTGGCATTGGCTCTACTTTGATTATGGCAGACACAAAGACCTGCCATATTCGCTTATTGGGCAACTGGGTCACAGCCCTGTGGGGTCTCCAGTGACTGGGTGTGATGAAGGTACAAGGTGGGGTAGGAGGCATCAACCTCCCTAGAATATTTTATTTGCTGGGTATGTCCCTTTGACCGCACAGAACACTAGGGCAAGTCATACCTGAGTTGCCAGAAGATCCCTGCTGTACAGTTGCCAGAGACCTCTTGAACTCTCTCACCTGAGACTTGTGTTAATTGAGACACTTGACTTAGATAATTTGAACTAGGCCAATCACCTGAGAACTATCTAAAGTGATACCCTGGGGGTGTGGCTGAGGGAAGGTGTGATTTTCCTTTCCTAACCATCACCAGTAAGGGGAGGGATGACTTAATCACTGATATTTCTCCATAGCCAAGATCTTAACCCAGAGTAATTGATTTTCTAAGGTAGAACAGATACCAGCCGAAAACAAGATAGAGACACGCAGGCCCCCAGGCTCT